AATATCTCAGCCGTGAGTGCACTATCTGAGCTGCCGCTTGAGCAGTTTATTTAGAGCCTTAAAACTACTCTCAGAGCCCATGGGTTCAGACTTGCCTGGACGCTGCCTTTATACAAAAGTTACGATGGTAGTGAACTCTTACCTCTTTGAGTTTTGCAATGCTGGGTTGCATAGCCAAGCGTAATTTTCTCCTCGACATTCTTTCTGGCTCATTAGGGTCATTCAATTTGTCCTTAAATACTTTATTGACAGAATGCACATAGCGCAAGAGCAATTCAAACGATTTACGTTGATTTCTTCCTGCAAGATCTTTTCAGACATTGATGCCCGATTGTACTCCTCGTCTTTCTTGTGAACCACGCCTGATGAGACAGCGCCATCGAGCGGTTCCCCATTTTCATCAGTGGGTTCTATCTAAAAAGGATGATGCTAGTGATGGCAGATGAGCCTATGAAAGCTTATCGTCACCTTGAATGCACTGAAAATAGCGGAAAAATACTGGAAATTTGGATCTTTTTCGTCCAGCTTCGGTGTTTCACCAACGTAGTCAATTTCTACTTCGAGATCTTCAGTCTGAAAAAGAGAAGGCGGATTTTGCAACAAAAAAGATGATAAATTTACTCTCCCAAAGAGTCTAATCAATAGCACGAAAATTACTCAAACTAGAAGACCGAACAAACCGCATTCTTTGGCCCCTGCACTTCCCCATCTTGCTCATCTGGCTTTTCTTCTTTGGGAGTGACTGTGTCAACAGCATCAGCTTCTTCATGAGCAGCTTTTCGGTGACGTTTTGAAAGCTTCTTCTTTTTGTTCTTCAAACGACGTCGTTCCAATTCCTAAGGATCAAAATAGGAATTGCAAAATGCAGGCGAAAGGAAACATGATCGAAGTGAAACCACCATTGTTCAATACCTGTTGTTCCTTCTTTGTCAAGGTTCTAGTTGGGCCAATCTCCTCGTCCGAATCGAAGCCTTCATCAGGCGAGACCATGACTACTAGAAATAAAAAAATTAATTTGTATCACAGAGACTCAAAGCTAAAACAAACACTAGAAAAAGCTAAAAGTTTGAAA